CTTAAAATAAACAAAAAAACCAGGAAGTACTTCTTTTGTCCGAAAAAAAAGTATACATGTTTTCTTTTCTTTTTTTTCTTTTTTAATTTAGGTCGCTTACCTATGGTATACATTTACAAAATTTAAAATACAAAGTAATTTTAATTAGGATAGAAATWKATCTTGTCTAAGGCTAGTATAWTAATTTCCTTGCTAATTAATCTTAATAATAAACTTTTTGTCCTTATAATACGAAAAWTTTTTTAGAAATTTCTCCACTTTTCACCAAACWAACTAGTTCATTGGAAGCTTGTAATATTACAAAAAATTTATCAAATTTCTATTTGATTAAATTTAATGCGAAATGTTACTATATTCAATAAACTGCATAGAATTGAAAACCTCAAACAGTTKAAGCGCTTTATTTGTAAAGTAGGTTTTTTAATTTATTGACTACTAGYTACGAGATATCCTGTATTGTGTGCTGCAATTTTAAACTAATAACAAATAGCTCTTTCAGTTAAGAATTAAAACAATGAATAATATATTTATACGGTGTAAAAAACATTAATTATCAATTCTTATAGAAACTATAACTTATATGATTAGATAATAAATAATATAGCCTTAGCACCCAAGGCAAGACGCTCTAAATAAGAATAGCAATCAATGGGTAAACTGTAAAAGATCTAAACTGTAGAGGATATGTGCGTTTAACCCTTTGACTGCTAAGTACTTTAAGTTGAAGGGATCGCTGAGAACTGAATACTATTTTTTTTTCCTTTGTATTTCTGAGCATACATATAAGACAGCAGTAAAAAACCCAAAACTTCGCCGAGCGCACATTTGCGTCAAGAATCTATATCGATGGCTTATGTAGGACGCATATATGCGCCCATAGCAGTCAAAGGGTTATTGTCTTTTTTYTACTTACAATTCTAGTTATAAAAATTCTTAGCTTTTTTTTTCCTTTTTCTTTTTTCCCTTTTACTTTTTTTCATGTACGTAAGTCAGCAAAATGTTTTCTTTTTAGTCTTTTTCTATTGCGAATAGTTTACGTTTTGATAACTACATTCTTCAAGTATATTGCAGTTGCAAATAAATCTTTATTTTGTTTTTTTTGTTTATTACTGTCGTGAATATTATGTCCTTTCGCGTATATCTTCATTTAATGTAAAACATGGTGCGTCGACTACAGTTCTTAATATTTTTGATTGCATTGATTACAGCTCTGTTATATGATTCATAGCTGCCGATCCACCGTAGTGATATATCATATAGGTTTCATATTGACGTTAAAATACCTTAA